ACGCAGAAGGCAGCGGACAGCCGCGGCGAGCAGCGGGCAGCGCCGCGGGCACGGGCAGGGCCCGACGAGGGGCAGCACCGCAAAGGCTGGCCCCGGCCCCCTCCTCCTGGCCCCCACAGGGGAGCGGTTCGCTTTTTTTCCGCAGGAAGGGGCAGCCTCTGACGGCTGAACTGGCCGGCTCTCAGGGCAGCGCGCACCGCCTCTGGAGCAGCCTGAGCGGTGATCAGTCAATGTCTTGTCTCTCTCTCAGGGTGCTCCGTGTTTCTCGTTTGGACACCTCCTGTCTCCCTCTGTCACCTAATCTGCCAAGATGCTGCTTGGTGCTCCTTTTTGTCAGGAAAGTAACAATAATTCACAAATACACAGATCAAAAGGCATATTCTTCTGTTTGCAGGAGAGGGACCTTACAGTTGTTAGGACAACAGCAATGTAATAAAAACAGACAAAACTAAGAACAAAGGACTTCACAAGGGGCAAAATAAAGCGATGAAGAGCACACCATGCTCCTATGAGCTCCAAAGCCCCCTGGCTGTGCAGCTCCCACCATCTGGGTGTCTGTGGCCATACACACACTGGGCTCACATGCTCACAGCCTGGACAGCACCTGCAGGGGCCGTTCTTGCCCTGGCTGATCCCTGACAACACTCCACAGGGACACAGCACCCCTGCCCTCTTGTATCCCTGTCAAACCTAGATTATGTCTCTGGAGGAGAGAGGATTGCAAAAACCTCCCTGCTTTAGGGTGTGAGCCGTAACACAGAGATCACTTTTGCAGACCAGGGAAAAAATCTTCACTGTTCATATCAAAGAGTGATTTACACATTAAAAGCCAGATAAACACACCAAATCCCAGTCTACTCTTAGACATTGGTCAGATAGAGTAACTCGTACACTTTGGACATGCGATGTGGAGATTTACAGGGTCGAATTTTTATCTACTCCTCTGGGAGGGCAGTGAGGTTGTGGGGGAACACACCCCTTGGCTCCCTGACTTTTCCCTGCCAGTAGGGTGATCTTGCACAGTCCACTCAAAGATATTCGGCACAAAGTGCTCCCTCAAACGGTCCTACAACTTCTTTTGTCTACCTTTCTTCTGGGAGGCAATTGGCTAAACATTGCTTTTTCCAAAGTTTTGAGGCATCTAACCAAAGGTGGTGATCCTTGCTGAAGGTGATGGATCAGACAAGAGCATACACAAGCATCAAACAGAACACAAATGTGTAAAGCTGCCTACAGAGATAATAGGTGCTAGTTGCTACTTCTTGGCTAAGTATCTCCATGTGTTTTGGATGTGTGGGTATGTAGTGAAGCTAAATTCAAAGATCATTCAGTGCGTTTGGGCTGGTAGAGTAGACTGCTATAAACCCAAGTACTTTGTTAATCCATTGTTTATATGAATTTATATTTCAGTATTTTTATAAACATGAAGATATTGAACTGTCTGTATGACATTTCATTACAGATATAGAATTATTCATGATCTCCAACACTGTACTGGTCCTAATGCCACTTGGATCACAGAGTGACATTTTGCCTAAAGCCCATCCTCAGCCAGAATTTCAGCAATTCTGGTTTGTACTTACCTGTGAGTGATCCATGTTGCCTGCACCTTGAACAGCCTGTGACAACCCCTGTCTGCACCACCACCACACAGGAGCTGCAAGTCACACAGAGAGGCAGGGAAACATCACAGGGATTATGGAAAGGCTCTCCAGCCTGTTTTCAATGTGTCACAGCTATTGAAATATAGCTGCCTTTGGAGCCAGCATTTCTGACTCTTTTCCAAATGCCTTCAGCAGCACTTCTTGGCCACTAAGAAAAAGGGGGTGAAACCTCAGACATGTACCAGAAGCTGTGATATTATCTTTTTCCCACCTGCAGTTAGGCTCTGTTTTCCCTAGGAGCTTTTAACGGATACAGGAACTATATACTACCCTGGCAAAGCACTCCCTGGTGTGATTGCAGCTATGGCAGCAAAGCTGTTTTGTACCAGTGCAGGGCTGCTCTGCTCCTGCTCCCCAGTGGCACCAGCAGCACAGGAAGCACCAGACAAAGGCCCCACGTTGTGCTGCAGAGCTCTGCCCCCCAGAGCCCTGCCTGGCGAGGCTCCAGGCCTGGAAAACAGGGTCAGACACCAGTCCTGCACCCTGGCATAGGCTAAGGATCACCTCTGTGAGCTGCAGGTGCCAGTGTGTCACAGATACAGCTCCACAGCAGGAACAAAAAAGTGGGCAGCTCTCCCTCTGCTTCTCTGCAGTAGCTTTCACCCCCACACCCTAAACTGGACTTCTTTGGCCCCTAAGAAAGCAGTTACCAAGACAGCACTGTCCCTTGCCATGTAATGATGACTGTTCATATGGGCCTCGTTATCTCAAAAATACCACAAAATAACCCAGTACATTCATGACAAGCTTTCTGCACATTTGCCCATATTGTCTTAGGAAAGAAATATATTTAAGAAGTAGCATTGATCCATTGGTGTTCAAATATTACCCAAACACCGTAAGAGCAGAAGAGGACCACAGCTCATTTTTCCCAGACCTGGGGACACAGTCCAGCCCCTTCCTCCAACCTGACTTGGGCTGCTCATAAGTGAGGCTCATATGCCAAAAGGGACGAAGAAAATGGAACAGGACCACAGACCTCACTTACGTTTTGCAGCCTCTAGTATCACATGTTGCAGTTGAGACAGCCACAATACACACAGTATCACCTACAATATCAGAAGGCATAAAGCATTCAGCTATACAGAGTAACACCACCACAGAAGGCTGCAAGCGTCTGCCCTTCCTGTTCTTTAGCCCAGCCTTTTATCCCCTCGTGTTCATGCCCTGCCCCTGTGTGCCTCTGCTCCCTTTGGTGGTTGGTCAGTGCCCCTGGGCACTCCATGGCTCATTGCTGCCAGTGCTGCTCACCTGCTGCTCACAGCTGCACCCACTGGGGATGGGGCTGGGCCAGCCCCACTCCCAGTCACCACAAACTGTGTGCCTGCACTTACCTTTCAAAGGCTGGGTGGAAAACCAAACTATCCCTTTACTCTACCCCTGCCCATGGCATGGTCAGGGTTTGCGACAGATGAAGCCTGAGCTTAAGCACTGCTTGGCACTGCTGGGCTGAGCAGCTCCCCAGCACCCTGACCCATTCCCACATTTTCACTAACATGGGGGATATGTGCAGCTCCAAACAGGATCCCCAGGTGGGGAGTTCCCCATCTCAGCACAGTGACTGTGCACCTATTTTAACTAGTCAGCAGGGAAATGCTCAGATAAAGGCGTGTGCTTCAGTACAGCACTACTAAGGCAGCTCTCTGAGCTGCATGGAAACATCAGTTCAACTCTTGGGATTCACAATGCAGTACCTTTTCCTGAAGATAGAATCCTACATCTTTTTAATTTCTGAAGGCTTGCCCAGAAGTGATCCAGCATCACTTCAAACCAGCGCCAGGCAAAGAGCCTCCTTTTTCAATATCATTGTAAGAACCTGCTACCTTTCTTTTAGCATGGAGAAGATGGCACATGAGCTCTTTCCACAGCAGCTGCTATACATTACCAGCTTTTCTTGCAAAGGCATGTCTATGAGCCTGTGCTGCAAAACACTTTCCCATTTCCCATCTTAAAATAGTACAATTGAGTTAGGAACATGCTTATATTATGAACAGGAATAATGAATTGGTGATTTCATTAACTAATTTTTCAGCCTGTAAACATCTGTTCTGTGATTCAGAGAGAAATAATCAGGTTGAAAGTTAATGTTTTTTTCTAGAAACAGATAATTTCAGTGTGATTTTGATGAAGAAACAGTGAGCTGAGAATAATCTAGATGCAAACAGAACTGTCCTCTTTGGAATTAAGAAAAGCCATTCCTAGTTTTGCTGCATTAGGGTTCATAAATTTATCACAAGCCACATTAAGCCTAAACTATGAAAAGTTACAACTTTTCTTAAGTTAGGACTGCTGTGGTGCTTCCTGCTGTAAAGGCGACCCTACTTCAGTTGTGCCTGAAGTTGTCCTTTGTTTGTAGCCTTCCCTTACTGCTCTGAGGGAACTGTGTGTGCACAACAGCACTATCAACAACAGCAGGGATATAAATTGTTGAAAACATGGGCTGCAGCATCAACAAGCTGTGCCACCCTTGCACTTGTAAAAAAGCTCACTATATAAACTAATCTAGGCATTGACTATGTGTCCATGAAAACATATTTCCTACAAAATATCACTTACATGCTCCAAGCCCAGACATGGCCCAAGGACAACCAGTTGTGCTCTAGTTCAGTGCAGCGATTTTGAAAGGCTCTGACTGTGTGTGTTCCCATGCCACAGTCTTGCAAAGCCTTGTACTTTGTGGCAATGGGTAAACCACATCATTTCACAACTGCTGAATATTTATGATGATTATGATTCATTCAAGCCAGAGACACCAGGAGAACTACATCTTTATAACTTTTCAGAGGTGTCCATGGTCCTTAAAATGACTGTTTCCCTGACCTCCTTACCATAAGATAGGTTTAAAAAGAGTAAAAGAAAGCCTGGCAATTGGCTCTGTTGGCACTTACACAGAGCTACAATACCTGGGGGTCTGGGGTGGGTAAAATATGCAGCCTCCTACCACGGTCTGCAACGCCTGATCCAATATCTGTGCATTTGTATACAATGCAGAAACTCTTTTTTTGTATTGAAACAAAGAAGCACAGAGATATGGGCAAGGCAGCTGTAGGTCTGGTTCTTCTATTCTTGCTGAAAAATTTAAAACATTAACGAGTATTATAAACTAGCAATACATTTTCATAGTACAGGTTCTTACCTCACCTCCACCTACCGTGGAGCCGGGGAGGTACATCCAGAAGCAAACACAATACCAGACACAGAACCATGGCTTCTCCTCCTGGCTGCAGAGTGCTCTGTGCCATCAGGTGAGTGATCACTGGGATTCAGCCACCCCAGCAGCAGCAGCAATGCATTGACAGCAATGCACTGACAGACAGACAAGCTCTGACGCTAAGCTCATGTATTCCCTTTATTGAACTGTACTAGTTATTGCAATCAGATTAAGTCACATTTATAAAGCAGACCATCCAGTTGCACTGAAACCGATTATATTCATTACATAGTTTTAATCACTGTCCGGTGAACTGGCAAATCCAATCAAAGCATTAGTCTTTAATTAAAAAATTAAAAAGAAATATTCAGACAATAGCCAAGCAATCACATCACAATGCACAGTTACCTAAAATTGCAATTAAAAAGCAGTTAACAAAAAAGAAAAAAATCACACCTAATCTTTAACTATCAATATAATACAAGAAGCAACAAAGGGCAACAGCATCAAAGCAGATTTATCTAACACTATAAATTCAGTCAGAAGCAGAAGCTCTAAAGTACACTAGCTGAAGCAGGACAATAAAAAATACTGAGCATGGAATACTTTTAATCTCTTCCATTAATATTCATTTCCAGCTGCTTATAATAGCAGCGCCTCATGGCCAAATCATTAGAGTTTTACATCTGGGTTGCAAATGACACTTTGATTGGATGTAATGTTCAAATGGTCCTCCCCACTGTGCCACCGTCAAGTCTTCTGCAGAGAGGTGTCCTGTAGTGCCAGTGGCTCACTGTGCGTGCTGGCTCAATGTGTGGTTCTGGAAAGACGAAAAAAGGAGACATGCATGAGGGGCAGAATAATAGAAAGCATGCCCATACCCTCCCACTCAGTACCATTTATGCAGAGCTCAACATAAAAGCTTCTCAATTATTACAAAACAAAATGCAATAAAGAAAAAGTACTCATAAGTAACAGCTGCCAATATGACATATTTGCTTTGTTCTGACAGATCTGTTAATGCTGGCATGAACTTAGAAAAAAAAATGCTGCAAGCCAAGTATATTCATGAAGGTTCCCTTTTTTTTTTTTTTTCCTCCTTTCAATACATATAAAGAAAATGGTAACTTCATGGGCAAAAAAAACTGCCTTTAGGGATTCCCTTCACTGTAACAATTTAAAAAAATAAAAATCTGAATCGTGAGGGAACCCTTGCCATATTTTCCTCTTTTATTCTCAGTCGTACCGGGTGCAAGCACTGGCAGCAAGAGACACCAGATTGTGACACACACTTCTCAGTCCAAGAAATACTTCGGCAATAACAGCTGAACCGCCAGCTCAGGCACCAGGGTAATATTCCCAGCAGAAAAAAGGCTGGACATGTAACCCAGAAGTTAAATCTTTTTAAAGAATATACTTTTCTCTACACATTTCTTTCAGCAGTTTAGAGTCTCTTTTGTTCCCTTTTTTCCTTTTGGTAGATTTGTAATAGCCTCAATGTCATCACAGTATCTCACATCAGAGGATGCTGACCTGTCTTGCCATTTTGCGTAGGAGCCAATAAATCGTGGAGCCAACCTCGGAAACGTATTTTTAGAGCAGTACCGATTTGTTCTGACTAAAACCCCAGTCTGACACACAAGCTTAGCTTTATTTTTATGATTATCCAAATTATTTGAGCAACTAGAGAAGTGGTTCATGGTGAGGTTTTCTTGAGCTGAGTCCCCAGCATCCCCAAATATAAAAATTCATTTGTGCTATTTCAAGCCTAAGCAATTTCCCTAGTCTCCATCTGCCTAATAACAGAGCAGGGCAAGTCTGCCAGCTTGAAGAATAAGTTTTTAAACACAAAATGAATTTTGAATCTAATTATTTATTTACAGTGATGAAGCTTTAAAATAAAGTAAGATATTTTAACTTTTCATAAATCATCTGGTCCTTCTACGCTATCCACAGCTACATGGCCATCAGGATAAAAGAGCAATCCCCGCTTTCTGCAGAGATGACATGTCCCCGCCAGGGGTCAGGAGCGCGGCCGGGAGCGGGCACGGCCACGCGCGGAGCCCTCGGGAGGGGAACACCGGCTGGGAAATCACAGAGTCACTGCTCCAGCACAGCACCGGCCCTCTCAGACACCCCTGCCTGTGGCACTGAATATGCACAACCACAAATCAGAAATTCGCGAATTGACAGCTGGAACTGCTTTGCTTTTAGACAATTTAACACCACCAAACACAAAATTCAATGGCTTTTTCCTTCGATATACATGGAAATTTTCCTGGCCTTAAGAAGGAGTGACCTTTGCAGTGCTGGATGTTATTCTCAAGTCTAACAATGACTTTGTGGAGGAGGATGGATGGAGCCCTGCACACACAATAGCAGCGCTGACAAGAAGCTTGCCCACTAAACCTAGCTGGGAAGCATGAAAATGTGAAAGAATACACAGGCTCCTCTGTGCTCGCACACTCCTCAGCATTTTAACAATGGCCACTCCTTGTGCACTTCATTACAGTTCTATTTTTAGGTCATCCTGAATATCAATAAAAAACCCAAAAGGTTTACCATCCTGAAATTGAAAGAAGGGCTATTCGTGGTAGACAAATCCATACTTAGTTAGGCCGTGCCATTTAAAAGATAATGCACAATCAGCACTGGATGCATGACACACAGCCTACAGTCAGGGAGCATGATTTCAAACTTGTGTGGCTGCTGCATTGATTACACCAGGCAGGTCAATAAAGGAATGGTATGTGGCTCTAAATCTGATAATGAAGCTTTTATTGGGAGCCCTCCCTCCTCAAACATCAGCTAATAACATGTTCTGGACATTCCCAATACAAGAAATACACTGGGTTTGGGATCAGAATTTGTCAAAGGAACGAACAGATTGTGCTCAAATACTGCAGCCATTTAGAGATGGGTCAGGCAGGAGCTGAGAAATTAGATGTGCCATAGGGCTAGGAGTTAAAAAATTACATTTTTCATATGAAAATCTTGATTTTGTCTTAGTATCTTGGGAATGTACATGTATTCCCCATGTATGCATTACTGACAATCAATATGCTGGCTAGTGCCTGGACCCTGCAGTTAATAGATAGAGCCTCATTTCACACAGGACCTCACAAACAGGTCTGTAATGCCTATGGACATGAGAGCCTGTGTGCTCTGCATCCTTCCCCTGCCCTTCTGGGCACATCCTGCTCAAGCCATGGGCACAGGTGCCAAGTCCTGCACACCCAGGTGTCAGTGAACACTGAGTGAAGGATAAATAACCACCACTGTGTGTGTTTCAAAGTCCCATGAGAACCTCTCTGTATCCTCTGCCACCCATATAGGTTTCTCACATACTAAAATGTATTTCAAAACATGCCTTCCAAAAAAAATAGTCTAGCAATTTGTCTCCTATTACTAGCAATTGTCATTTCTTATATTCTTGCTTCTACTCCCTGTGCCCCGTGCATCTGCAGCTCATTGGAATTGTGCTCTGCAGATGTCAGAAAGCATCTCACCCATTCAGGGCTTATGTCTCTTCTCTCACATGTGTGTTTTCTATATTTGACCCATGATTTTTCAAATACCTTTGCTAGGCACTTTTTTTGTGCCCAGACAGAAAATTCCCCTGGCTGACCAGACTTTTGGAGTGATTGAAAATCAAGTATTAAGAATGCCCTGTGCCTTAGTAGGAACAGTTTTGACCCCAATGGAGCCACTGGGCTGTTCCAGGCAGCAGAAGGAAATAATAAAGACCAGAAGGAAGTTTCGAGTGCTTTAAAACATGTGATACTACAGGAGTGCTGCTACCTAAGCAGCCTAAGGAAACTTCACCCACCTTTCCAGCAGGAGGGTGGGCTGGCTGAAAACAGCTCGGGTGTGATTTTTCAACTCCAGAAATTATAGTTAGGAGAGGAAAAAAAAAAAAAAGACTTAATGACTTAATGGTGGTTTCCAGAGGAAAACAGAGCAGCCACAAAAACACAGGCCCTCCAGGAGCACTCCTGTGTGTGTGCACATGCCTACCAGCTCCAAGGCCATCCATACACGTGCCCGTCTGGGGCCAGCAGGAGGCACGACATCATTTGGAAGCTGAACAGGAAAAATGGTTCTTCCCAGCTCCTGTTAGACCCCCTGGTTTACACACAGCTCACAGCTGATACCCCACTGAATACATCATTCTGAGACATTATTGCAGCTGGAAAACTCTACAGCAGCACTAAGTCACCTGTCAAGATCAAGTAAGTCACAGCTTATTTATAGGATAAGTTGGAAAATCTCCTCTTTTCTTAATAATCATGCAAAATGGATAGCAATTCCATTAGCTATGTCAGGGGGAAAAATGCAACTACCCCAAATCTCGGGGCTGTTGCAGTGTTTAAGTGGAATTTTCTACTGGCTGCACAATCCCCAAATGAACCATTTATGGAAGTGTCTGTGATCAAGGAACTGGGTGATGGGTTTTGCAGGAAATAAAAAGATTTCAAAGAATGGTTAATTATTGTCCATGTAGATATTGATTGTTCTCCAGATCTTCCCTGGAGACACCCCCTGCCTGCCCTCTGGATGCAGATCAAGCCATTTGTGCAGGACATCCACAATGAATATTTCTCTGTTTTTTTAAATGCATGATTATGAAAACACTGGCATGACAATACCCATTTTCATAGCTCTGTGTCAAGAAGGAAAGCATCAGGCTTGAAAGATGATCACTTACAACAGTTCAAAGAACTCTTACAAGCTATATAAAGATCGAGAGAAAAAGCACACAAAAAGCAGCACATGATGGAGCGAAGCTCCAAGCCAGGCAGTCAAGCTGGGAGTCTCCCACACTGCAGCGACACTCACTGCCAACAAGTCACAGGTGTACTACACAGGAGCAGGTGAAAAAAATAAAATGCAACTGTGAGGGGTGTGATAATGGTTTGGGGCCATAACACATCCAGTCTACAGTGCCATTGTGCATCTGTTATGGATTTAGACATTTTCTATCAGCCATTTACAAATACACTGTCTATGTGCATGAGCACACACCCCTAAAAGGCCATATGTTATACAAAGGTTAAGAAATGGCCTAACAAGGCTGGTGATACCCCACCCTCAGGTGAAATTCATAAGCCTTCTGCAGTGTTACAGAGACTGGGACTGATGAAAGGCTACAAAGCCTCTCTCCCCTTCCAAATGCCACTGAAATGAACAGAAACCATTCCTCAAATAATTTCAATAAAATTATGGAGATAATAGATTCATGTGACAATCAGCCAACATGAAAATTAACTGGTAATTAGCCATTGGATGACCTATTAATCCCAGTATTTTTTCTCAGGGTGTGGGGGGTCCTCCAGACCCAGGTAAGAGCCCAGGTAGTTTTCCTCTGCCTCTCCCCACCTCTGTTCAAGTTTCTATCACCCCTTCAGGCACTGTCTCATTCCAAGCCCAGAGATCAGGGTCATGGCTGGGGACCCTGGGACTGTGTCTCCTCCTCCCCATTCTCTCCCCTTTTCCCTTTACAGAGCAGGGCTGGAAACAAGAGCAGTGATGCCTCCACTGACTGCCAACATGCACAGCTTGCCAGACAAAAACTAAACCTCAGATTCAGGCACTGACTTGAAGCAAAGGTTTGTCTCACATTTGAACATATATATATATAAAGACAAAACAAAACCTCCAAATTGCTACAAACAGAAGCTAGAGTGTCTAAATATTTATGAAATACCATCTGCAGCAATCTTTTTTTCAATGTTTTGCATATTTTGAATTCAAACTGGTCCAAAAATAAATCTCTCAGTTGTTATTACTCATGATATATCCATAAGCACACACATATAT